GAAGGGGACTACTGGTGCTCAGAACCCCGCTGAGCACCAGGGGTTTACTGGAAACAGCCCTTGACTGAGGTCCATAAACACAGGTTCGTGTCCTTGATTCGTCCCTCTGGCTATGTGACCTTGGGCCTCAGTTTCTTCTTCCTTAAAAGGAAGGCTCTGGAGCTGGAGATGTGGCTCAGCAGTTAGGAGCACTGGCTGCTGCTGTTCCAGAGGACCTGGGTTCAGTCCCCAGCACCTACATGGCAGCTCACGGCTGTAACTCCAATTCCAGGGGATCTGACACCCTCACACAGACATACGTGAAGGCAAAACACCAATGCACAAAAAATAAAAATAATCTTTTAAAAAAGAAATTTTGTCGGTCGGTGGTGGCGCACGCCTTTAATGCCAGCACTTGGGAGGCTGAAGCAGGTGGATCTCTGGGAGTTCGAAGCCAGCCTGGTCTACAGAGTGAGTGCCAGGACAGGCTCCAAAGCAATACAGAGAAACCCTGTCTCAAAAAACAACAACAAAAAAGGATTTGATTTGAATACACTCTGAAGTCCAAATTTTGGACTCTGAATGAGAAAAAACGCTAGAAGACTAGTTGTTGGCTAAGAAGAGCCACGGAGGACCTTTGGTCCATAGTATTCAAGGCGCCCTCCAACTCAGTTCTTCGTTCCTTACAATCTGTCCACACTCTTGTGTAGGTCAAATAGAACATAGATCCCAGAGCTCAGTCACAGTCACATGAAATGTAGAGACCACGATGAAGTTTGTGCTTTCTAGTGCGAAGGAAGTAGAGCTTGGGACTCGCATTTACCTCAGGCCCTAGCCGAATGGAGGTGTTTGCCTGAGAATAGTGCTGGCCCTGCCCTGCCCAGTCTTGGCAGTGAAAGAACCAGGGCCTGGTTGTGTTCTTGTGCCCTGCCTGTTCTGGTCCTGTAAGCCAGAAGGTGAAAGGGAGTACAGACTCGTCCAGAAATAGGAAGGTGATCCCCATCCGCAGCCCCTGGCCTCCCACTGTGGGGCCCCAAGGAGTAGTCCCCAGGCTGAGGAGTTCCCTGGAGATGGCTAGTGTAACTAACTAGTAGTGCTGCCAGGTGCTGGGCTGCCGGTCAGGCACAGTGGGCAAGGTTTGTGATGTTCCTCTCTTGTCTCCAGCCTGGTGGATGGCTCTGGCCAGTCTTCCCATTGTGTCACGCTGGTTTTCTCAAACCTTTATTTCACAGGACTGACAGATTGAGCTGGTATGTTTGCAGTACATGGCTTATATGTATGTATGTGTACATATGAGTTATCTGTGATTGTGTTGGTTTTGAGTAGGATGAACATTTGTGGCAGCCAGTGGGGTGGTTTATCAGAGGGAGAGTAGTTTCTTGAAGAAGCTGTCTGATAGACACTGGGGAAAGGTGCTAAGTGCTCTCAGATTTAAGCATTCTTCCTTGGAGCTTTCTAGAGTATCAGATACTAACTTGCATTTTTTTAAAAAAATTGAGACCCTAAGGAAACCTCTGGATTGGGGTGTTTAGTGGAGATACTGGGTTCAGTCTTATCAGCAACATCAACAAAAACTGAAACACCTATACTCTTACTACATCTCTCTGTGTCACTGACGCCCCTTTGGGCACAGGAAGTTTAGAGAGGACAATCACTTAAACTCAGGAATTTTTTTGTTTTTGTTTTGTTTTTCGAGGCAGGGTTTCTCTGTGTAGCTTTGGAGGCTGTCCTGGCACTCGCTCTGGAGACCAGGCTGGTCTTGAACTCACAGAGATCCGCCTGCCTCTGCCTCCCGAGTGCTGGGATTAAAGGTATGCGCCACCAACGCCCAGCTGAACTAAGGAATTTGAGTATAGTAAGACTCCCCTCCCCAAATAAACAAACAAACAAACAAACAAAAAATAAAACCTGCAAATAAAAAACTGTTCAAGGGACTAAGCTTCTATTTGGGGCATTGTGGTCCTGGTTAGCAGGAAGGACTTGGCTGTTACCTCTAGGTATTGAGAATGGTGACTGAATTTTGGAATATTGAGTTGTTAAGCTTGCCTGTGAGAAGGCTTTGCTCTCCAGCCCACTACTTCAGCTGGGTGCTGTCAGTCACTTGGCCCGTTTAGGGCAGTTTTAGTGGTGTGCTAGTGGGCCATACAGAATTCAAGCCTGCTGTGGTCCACTTTCTTTGGCCTAAGAACACATAGTGGTTGTTCTGGGAGTCATCAGTCTTCTGTTTTTTGATTGCCTTTGTGTCCACTAGCCTCTTATCTTTTAGGGTCAAACACCTCAGTCGTATAACAAAAAGGAGATTAATGCTTACTGAACATTTACCAAGCACTGTCGTGAGTGTTTATTAACAACAGTAGGTAATTATCATATTCCCATTTTATAGCAGGGTGAGCTGAACTGAGACATAAAGAAGTTGAATATCTTGTGCAGGACCACAGAACTGGTTATAGATGAAAGTTGAACCAAGGAGTCTGCTTCCAAGCCTGCAATCTTTGTGTCATGTTTTTGTTTGTGTTGAGACAGGGTCTCACTATGCTTCCTTGACTGGCCTAAAACTTACTATGTAGACATGGCCTTGATACAGCTGCCCCACCTCCTGAGTTCTGGGATTAAAGGTGTTCACCACTAGACCTGGCCAAGCCTATAGTCTTTGATATGTGGTCTTGCTGTGTATGTATAGCCTGGGCCCGCCCAAAACTTGCTCAGGCTGTTCTGGAATTCAAAGAACACAATTGTAGTGCTCGGATCACTTGTGCCCACACTCAGTCTGAAGCACTATTTTGTTTTTCAAGACAGAGTTTCTCTGTGTGACAGCCCTGGCTGTCCTGGAACTCCCTCTGTAGACCAAGCTGGCTTTGAACTCAGAGATCCACCTGCCTCTACCTCCCAAGGTGTGCACTGCCGCCATCATCACCCAGTGACCACAGCAACTCTATAAAGGAAAACATTTAATTGAGATCTCTGTCTGCTTACAGTTTCAGGGGTTTAGTCCATATCATGGGAGGGAGCATGGTGGCATGCAGGCAAACATGGTGCTGGGGAGGGAGCTGCTATATGTTGATAATGTAGGCAACAGAAAGAAAACTATTGTTATACTGTGAAGCTTAAGCAAAGAAAACCTCAAAGCCTGCCCCCATGGTGACATACTTCCTCCAATAAGGCCTGTGGGGGCCAATTACATTCAAACAACCACACCACTCCAAAAAAAAAAATCTCATGACAGAATTAGAACTAGAAACACACTTACCTTTATATTCCCTTTCATAACTTATTTCTTGTGCTCTGTTGTAACAAGTCTTTCTCTATCCTGCCAGCCAGATCCGAAACAATGACATGGAGGCATATTAATCATGAAAACTTGGGCTATAGCTTAGGCTTGTTCCTAACTAGTTCTTATATTTTAAAATAACCCTTCCCCCCTTTTTTTTTCGTTTTTTGTTTTGTTTTGTTTTGTTTTTCCAGACAGGGTTTCTCTGTGTAGCTTTGGAGCCTGTCCTGGCACTTGCTCTGTAGACCAGGCTGGCCTTGAACTCAAAGAAATCTGCCTGTCTCTGCCTCCCGAGTGCTAGGATTAAAGGCCTGTGTCACCACCACCCAGAAAAATAACCCATATTTTTAAATCTACATTCTACCTGTTTTTTTTTTTTGTTGTTTTTTTTTTTTAAACTTTTCTTCTGTTCTGTGCCTCTAACTTGTTTTGTGTCTCCTGGTGTCTCCTGCACACCACCTAGGTTACTCGACCTCTCTGCCAAGAATACCTCCTGACTAGCTGTCGGCCATCCAGCTCTTTATTAAATCAACCAGAAGGCACCTTGGCAAAGACACATCTTCACAATGTAAACAAATATTCCACAACACTCTTGTCTTTCCTCATTCCCTTATGTTTAGCTTTTCTTCATTTTACACTGTACCCACAGAGACATTTGTTTTTATATGCACTCACTCAGATTTCACATGTGAGTGAGAATATGGGTTTTCTTTCTCTCCTAGATTGTGACCTCACTTAATATTATTAGTCTGAGTCCATTTCCTCACAAATTTGTTAACTTCATTTTTCTTTTTTTTTTCTGGCCCCGGGGAGTGGGGAGGTGTTCGAGACAGGGTTTCTCTGTGGCTTTGGAGGCTGTCCTGCAACTAGCTCTTGTAGTCCAGGCTGGACTTGAACTCACAGAGATCCACCTGCCTCTGTCTCCCGAGTGTTGGGATCAAAGGCGTGCGCCACCACTGCCTAGCCAACTTCATTTTTCTTTATAGCTAAGTAGTATTCCATTTTTTGTGTATAC